TCATTACTTAATTTTCTTTCAGTGTACAAATTTTTGTGTGAACGTGTTTTCAATTCACTTGTGTATATACCTAGGAGTGAGTCAAGGTAATTGTTAAACTTTTGGAGAAACTGCCACTCTTTTTTAAAGTGGCTGCACCATTTTCACATCTAAGACATTTTGATGCATAATATTTTTGTTATTTTTCGATTCTATAATTTGTTATGACTTCTTCTGTAACCCACGAAGTGTTTTTTAGAAGTGTTTCTAAATTTCTCAACTAAAGAGGCTTTTCTAGTTTTTTTAAATTAATGTCTAACTTAATTGCATTAAGTAGTCAGAGAACATTGGTTGGATCCTTTGAAATCTATTGAGACGCCGGGTTCGGTGGCTTAGCCTGTAATCCCATGCCTTGGGAGGCCGAGGTGAATGGATGGCCTGAGTCCGCGGGTTCGAGACCCTCTTGGGCAACTTGGTGAGACCACATCTCTACAATAAATCAAAAAATTAGTCGGGTGTGGTAGCACGCACCTGTAGTTCCAGCTACTTGGAAGGCTGAGGCGGAAGGATCACCGGAGCCCAGCAGGTCAAGGCTGCGGTGGCCAGGAGCGGCCACGGCACTCCAGTCTGGGCGATGGAGTGAGACCCCAACTCAAAAAAAAAAAAAAAAATCTGTTGAGACTAGCTAGCTTTATGACTTAGTACTATGGTTATTTTTCTTTTTCTAAACATTTAAAAAATTTAAATTTGGGGGGGTACATGCAAAGGCTTGTTTGTTACATTGGTATATTGTGTGATGATGAGATTTGGGCATCTGTTGAACCCATCACCCAAATAGTGAACATGGTACACAACAGGTAGTTTTTCAGCTCTCGCCTCTCTTTCTCCTTTCCCTCTTTAGAAGTCCCCAGTATCTGTAGGTCTCATCCTTATATCCATGTGTATATAGCGTTTGGCTCACTGGTTACTCTTCATAACGTCCTGTGAACCCCTAAAATAATGTATATCCTCCAATAGTTTTACGTATATGTAGGTATATATGTTGTATACGCATATGTCTGTATATGTTAACCTTATCATCTAACACATGTATAATCGAATTGTTAATTGTGCCATTCAAATCTTCTATACCCTTTCGAGACCATAGGAACATAAATATATCAAAAAAGATATACATATTATTCATAGCTATTTTATACACAATAGTAAATGTGGCAATCATGGAACTAAGCTGCTTTGAATTCCCTTAAAGATTCTGAGGATCGCAATATATGCAGCAGTGTGCTGGAGCCTACGAATACTGGCTTGAGAGACTTGATTATAAACTTTTCAGGAAATTTGCAAACTGGTTGTTGAACATAGCCATTATTAAAAATTAAATTTTGTGGCTGGGCTCAGTGTCTCAGCCTGTAATCCTAGCACTTTGGGAGGCCAAGGCAAGTGGATTGCCTGAGCCCGTGGGTTCGAGACCTGCCCGGGCAACTTAGTGAGACCTCATCTATACAGTAAATTTAAAGAAAAAAATTAGCCAGGTGTGGTAGCACATGCCTATAGTTCCAGCTACTTGGAAGGCTGAGGCAGAAGGATTGCCAGAGCCCAGCAGGTCAACGCTGGGTAGCTGTGAGCGTGCCATGGCACTCCAGCCTGGGCGACGAAGTGAGACTCCAACTCAAAAAATTGTTTTAATTTTGTGAAATTACAGTAGGTTATGTTAAAAATAGATAATTTCTCAAAACTCTTTACTTCCTCTTATGTTGCTACATTTTACCTACATTTATATTTTTGAGGTTAATTGCATCTATTGTATTGGTTTGTTGGAAATACTATATAATAATGTGCTACTGGACATCTTTTCTCAAATTCATGTTCAGTGATGTCACATTGGTAGCTTGAAATTGACCATGATGGGAGTGCTGACACCATGGAAATCAGCAAATGTTACAATTGGACTGAAGAAACTGATAGAGGAATTTTTTTTTTTTTTTTGCCAAGTTATTGCTATATCAGCCTAAGCTGGGAAGCAGTAGTGTGATCATAGCTCACTGTAATTCCAAACTCCTACCTTTGCCTCCCGAGTAGCTGGGGCTGCAGGCATGTCCACCATGCCCAGCGAAGTTTTTACATTTTTTTGTAGAGACAGGGTTGCCCAACCTCGTCTTGAATTCCTGGCCTTGAATCCTCCTACTGGGACTGGAGATAGCTAGAGAAAGACTAGGCAGACTGGCGCATCCCTGGTAATAATGTAGCAAATGCCCAGCAAGCCTCTCAGGTTCAGCATTGGTAAACAAGCTCCCTGCCAGCCTCTCAAACTAGAGCTTAGGTACTCAATGCAGGGCTCGAAAAGCAACCAATCAGCTCACCGTTAGGTCCCTACCGTAATACAGACCAATCAGAACAGCTACAGCTCACAGCTAGTGCTAGCCAATCGGCTTGGACAAGAACCTCAACCCTGAAGAGCTGCAACCAGGAGAGCTGCTGGAAAAAGGCACGACTCTGAAGCTGAGACACCCAGGAGGCTAGGCTTGCTAGCCCCCCCCCCCCACTCCCCTCCCATCACAACACTCAGGGCTTGACTCACCAGCCCATTAGAGCTGACACTCTGAAAGTCCAGGCTGACCTGAAAAATCCGCATCACCCTCTCAGCCTTCCAAAGTGCTGGGATTACAGGCATGAACCACCACACCTGGCCCTGAGGTAAGAAAATGGTAATAAAGCAGAGTACGCTTAAAAGTGTGTGATGTCTATGGCCTTTACATTGTGAATAGCAAACAAAATTAAGGAAAATTCTTCAACTATTACAAAAGAATTATCTATTTCAGCAAAGAAGTTGCTCACAACATTGACAAATGAAATTCGAACATACATCTTGGATGTTTCACTCGTATCTTAATCATAAATACAAACAAAAAAATCAACATTCATTTGAAACTACATTATTAATTACAACTACAGGTTGGCTACAAATATAAGAATTCAGCAAAAACCAATTAAAGTATTCTGGGAGGATCAATTGTCTATGAGGAACTTACAGTAGAATATATTTCATTATAAGTCACCATTATAAGTCATACATCAATTTTGTAATAAACTAAGTCACACACACACACACACACACACACACACACACACACACACACACACACCACTGGCTGACAGCCTCCAGCACAGCACCTTGAGAATCCTCCACAGTATTCACAGTATATTCTCCAATAGTTTCACATATATGCAGGTGTATCTGAGAACATGCTCCTCCCAGGGAGCTCTAGCTAATGATTGAGACAGTAGGATCTGGCCATTTCATGCAACACAGAACGCTCATATATGAATCCCCAAAAACACACTGAACAAAAGAAGCCGAGAGCAAAAATAATATGTAGTGTATGAGCCCATTATATGAAGTTCTAGAACAGTCTAGGAGATGGGATTGGGAAGACACTGGGAAGGGGCCCAAGGGGTCTTTCTGGGATGATGAAAATGTTCTATATTTAAATAGGGGTATCATTTCATGGGCAAACATTTGTAAGCGCTTACCTATACATTTAAGATCTATTCATTTCACTGCACCCAAGTTACATTGCAATACAAAAGTGCAAAACAATTTTTCCTATGATGATGTGCGATTTCACTTTCTTGTAGATCTGTTCATTTCTGCTCCATATACTTTGATGCTATGTTATTAGATGTCTGCAAACTTAGAATACTGCTGATGAACTGTTGAATTTTTCTGCTATTCTGCATACACATGTCCACCGCACTCATTCCTATTATTTTAATATTTTATCTTATTCTAATCATCCACTTGCAGTGCTTCATCATGTGAACCTGTCTTGCTGTTTTGGGGACCGGCTTACAACACCAAATCCAAAGACAAGCACGTGCAGGCACAGAATTAGCTGCATGTCACTGACTGGAAGTTGATACCCCGGTCACTTGGCCATCCATCCCAAGGGCTTCCAGCTCTGCCTTCTGCTCAGAGCCCAGCATCTGTTCCAGCATGGGAAGCAAACGCTCAGCCAAATAAAAGAGCAGTCTGAAGGAGGCGAGGGAGTGGGGGATTTTGCAGGTAGCTAGACAGCGAACAAAGGTTTCATGAGAAAGGTTGAGACCTCAGGACTGGGTTCTAGACGTCGTGAGCGGCACAGTTAGGCACAACTGTTAACTTGGTGACAGTCTGAGGGGCTGGGGCGGGAAGAGACTAAAAAGGACAGGGAGAGGGAGGATCGGGAGCGGCATCCGCCTTAGGAAACCGGGCTTAGGTAGCAATGCCGCAGGCTGCACTACGCCCGCTATTTTGAGGTTAGGTCTTTCCTACTGCCGCTTGTGGCAGAAGGAAAGCACCATCTGAAGCGCTTAAATCCCGAGTGGGAAGAGTTGGGGGGCATTGAGGTGGAGAAGGGTGTGTCTGTTGGGCACTAGCGCCCTCCAATTCTGTCACTCCCAAGCTGATGAGCCTAAAGCAAACGCAAGTCGCGCCACCTGAGCTGTCACTCACTAGTGGGAGGACTAGTCACCGCCCAACTCTGGGCTTCTATTGGTCAGGTTAAGAAAAGCTCGAGAGAGCCAACTGGCAGCCTCCTTCTGATTGGTCTGCTCCTGCTAGCCTTCCAGCCAACCAGAGTGGACTGCATCACATTCCTTTCCACATTCGAGCTCCGGGAGAGCCATATTAGGGAGCGGAGCGCGAACCTTCGCGCTCTTCTGACACCGCCACACTGTGACACCTTTGCTTTCCTCTTCCGCCGCCGTCTCCTCTGGACATGTTATTGTAGTTAACAAAAACGCGCTGATTTCTTCACAAAACGAATTGTCCCATTCGTATAACGTGAGAGGACTGCGTCTAGGCGGTTAGACGCAAAGGAAGCGAGCAGATGGCGCGTCCCGCCAGACGCCCTCCTGAACTCGGTGCCGACTCCCACCGTCCGGAACGCGCCCCGTTCGGCGCGCCGGCAGCGTGCGAAGAGTGTGTGACTTTTGGCCCCTCGCGGCCCCCGTAGCGTCCCCAGTCACCGCGCCCCTAGTAACCGCCCTCCCCAAGCGAGGAGCCGCCGGGTCGCCAGAGGCCGCGCCAGCTTACCCGCCCCGGGCCAGCGCGGGCGCTGGGGCCTCGGAGGCGGGGAGATGGCCGCCGCGCACCCAGTGGCGAGGCTAGCGGCCTCCAGTTTCCACACCCCTGTCAATCCCAACACCGGTGCGCGGGTCGCCCAGTACGAACGCGAAGACCCTTTGCAGACCCTGGCGGCGGTGGCGCAGATCCTGAAGGAGGAAGAGTTGGAGAAAGCGGAGCAGCCCGCGGGGGCGTCGGTAATGCGGGGGCGGGACGTGCGCTGGGCCCGGCGCGGGCTGGGTGCAGGCGGGGGGCTGTCCCGGTCCCCGCCCCGTTGAGGGCTGGCTGGGAGACGCGGCGCCCGAAGCAGACGCGCCCTACTCGGTGATCCCAGCCTCCCACCTTCTCTCTGCCCCCACGGAGAATGCTCCACATGGAGGTGTTGGGAAGTATTTTAATTTTCGCCAAAGAGGTTGTTGTAAAGATTTCTTGGACAGCATTTATATTACTCTATTTCTAGAAAGTGCAAAGGACAGAATTTTATTGCCTACTTTCCAGCATCTGTTGGGAATGGATATTTCCGGTTTGTTTGGTTTGGTTTGGGCTCCAGCTGTCCTCCTGCCTCAGCCTCCCGAGTAGCTGGACCTACAGATGGGTGCCCCCAGGACCGGATAATTTTTAAAATTTATTTTGTAGAGATGGGGGGGGGGTCTCACCATGTTGGCCATTCTGATCTCCAACTCATGGCCTCCAGCCATCCTCCCGTCTTGGCTTCCCAAAGTGCTGAGATTACAGGCATTGCCCAGCCTTTTTTTTTTTAACTTGAGAAAAACTGATCTACCCCACAGTGGATAAACCCATAAAAACAGGTGAATCAGTTGTGCTGTTCGGTGTGTTTGTTGCCACTTTAAGGCCCAGGTTATTAGTAGCTCTCAGCACAATACATTTACATAAGCATCCCCAGAAGCAAACTACTAAAGTTTCAGTGTTTCCTAAACAGCTCTTCAGAGTGCAAAAAGACAGCATTTTCACGGATGCATTTTCTGTGTCAAATGTGTTGTGGACACCTGTGGAGGACAAAGTCTGCCCTCTGCTCTATTCATTTAAAAGATGGAAACCTTGAATTTAAACTAGCCGTCTGCAGATATAAACTTCCTTATCCCCAGTTAAAGTTTCTTAATACTGTATGTCCACAGCATCTCAGATACAAGACATTATGGTCTACGGCTAGTTGAAATCATGGGCTGTTTTGGAATTCTAATCTGTTTAAGCGACACTGAAATCATTAATGAGAAACTCTGTAGTAACACCTTTTATGGCCAGTATTTCACCAACAGACAAACGACTTGAGGTTATCCAGAGCAAGGCGGAGTGAGACCCTGAACACGAATCAGGGTCAGAGTCCTGGGACCAGGTTTGTTCATGATAAATCTACCATCAGCACAATTTTTAGTAGGCAACAAAGGAGGCTAAGTGGTGGAGCAAAAGCATTTGGTTAGAGGAAAAGGATTTGGAATACTGCATTAGGATCCAATCTCTGCCACTTGCTGGATTACTTCCTTAATTCTCAGTTTCCTTATCTGAAGGAACTATAGTAATCGTTTCTTTTCCCCATCTCACTCAGCTGTTATGAGAACCAAATGAAAGAATGTGTGTCTCATCTAAAGTGCAATTTACATAAATCAGTAATAACTATAACAACTGCCAGTGGGACTGTTGTTTGAATGCCTTCCGAAAGATTCAATTCTGCTTTGGCTTGCTGTGGTAGAGGAGTCTAGAGTTGCAGTTACTCTGCCACAGTGCTCTGTTAAACTGCAAATTTGTATTAGAAACTGTTATTACCTTAGGAGAGATGAGTTTATACCATGAGCTAGTTTCAAAAGGATAAGATCCTACAAAAACAAAGGAAGCTGTCTTATGACTTGGATACTGTTCTGAGGTGACCACAAAAGTAAACCTGGGTAGGCTGCCACAGTAGGCCTGATAGGCAGAAGTCATGGGCTGGGGGGAAGAAGCACTGAAAAGGCTGGAAAGAGAGCATTGGAGCCAGGCTTTACTTTCTTCACAGGCGGGCTTGGGTCTCTATCTTGATTTTTTTTTTTTTTTTTTGAATTGGAGCCGAGATCCATCTTCCAGAGGGAGCAACAAGGGCCAACAGACGTTGTCCAGTGATTAATTTAGTATTCATAGTCACAGAACATTCTATGCTTCAATTGCAATAATACATGAGCACATTCTCTTTTTGAATATCAAATGTTGCCTATGAGGCTGAGACTTTTTAAAGACCTCTCCCCAAGAGAGAAAATCTGCATACCCATTCCCTTCCCACTGGCAGCTGCTGTTTGAAATGGATATGTTTTCTATTCCTCCATGCAAAGTCTCCTACATGTATTTTGATTTATGGTAGCATACTATAAATATAGATACATAGTTCTGCAACTTGCTTTTTTCTCTTATTTATTTACCCGTGTTAGTACATGGAGATCTGCCTCATTCTTTTGTGTGTGTGTGAGTTGGAGTCTCACTCTGTGCTCAGGCTGGAGTGCAGTGACACACTCACGGCCACCCCAGCATCAACCTGCTGACCTCCGGCAATCCTTCCATCTCAGCCTTCCAAGTAGCTGGAACTACAAGTGTACGCTACCACACCTGGCTAATTTATTTTATTTTATTTCACTGTAGAGATGAGGTTTGGCCAAGTTGCTCAGACTGGTCTTGAACCTGCGGGCTTAGGCAATCCTCTCATCTTGGTCTCTCAAAGCGCTGGGATTACAGGCTGGGCCACCAAGCCCGGCCTGCCTGCCTCATTCTTTACAAATCCTTTCCAGTGGAAAAAAAATTTTCAAACAAAAATTCCAGAATTGCTGGGCATGGTGGCTCAAGCCTGTAATTCCAGCACTTTGGGAGGCGGAGGTGAGAGAATTGCCTGAGCTCAGGAGTTTGAGACCAGCCCAAGCAACATGGTGAGACCTCGTGTCTACAATTAATCAAAAAAATTAGTCAGGCATGGTGGCACATGCCTGTGGTTCCAGCTACTTGGAAGGCTGAGACGGAAGGATCACCTGAGTCCAGTAGGTCAAGGCTGTGGTGGCCGTGAGTGTGCAGTTGCACTCCAGCCTGGGGCGAAGAAATGAGACTCCAATTCAAAGAAAAAAAAAAAGAAAATTCCAGAATTGCAGATGAAGCTACATAGGCTGCAACACAAATAATTTTTATGGGTGCTGATTACTAATGATGTAACAGATGCTAGAAGGATTTATAATCTAAGTGGGTTAAACCAGGGAAGATTAGCCTCTAATCTAGTGGCTGCATTTATGACAATCCACAAGAAGCTAAACAATTAAAGGGAGAGGGTGCTGTTTCAGGCTCTTGGAAAAATAATGTCTGTGCCCTAGGTTATTTGATGCACTAAATGTTTTCTGGGTGGAAATAAAGGTGAAATTAGAATAGGAGGTCATTTATTAGCCATTCATCTGTTTTAGGTGAAACACTGTGAGATGAGTTTATCTGAAAAGTTCAAACTAGGATGAATAGTACTAAGCTGAAAATGGAATGAATATTGTGCCAAATCAGTGCATAAGCAGAGTTCATCAGATTATTCAGAAACTAATCTTCCTCCTATATCATTTTTTTTTCTTTTTTCTTTTTTTTTTTTTGAGTTGGACTCTCACTCTGTCGCCTAGGCTAAAATGCAGTGGCATACTCACGGCAACCCCAGAGTTGACCTGCTGGGCTCCCAGAACCTTCTGCCTCACCCTTCCAAGTAGCTGGAACTACAGGCATGTACTACCAATCCATTCGCCTGGGCCTCCCAAAGTGCTGGGATTATGGGCTGAGCCACCAAGCCCAGCCTCATTATCATTTTCAGACAGTTCTTCCAGGTCAAAATAAATTTGATCCTTTTGTGTAAATGACTGCTATAAGATATTCTTTTTTTTTTTTTAATTGGAGTCTCACTTCGTCACCCAGACTGGAGTGCAGTGGCCGCTCCTGGCCACCGCAGCCTCGACCTGCTGGGCCCCGGCGATCCTTCTGCCTCAGCCTTCCAAGTAGCCAAAACTACAGGTGCACGCTACCATGCCCAGTTAATTTGTGATTTATTGAAGAGATGAGGTCTCGCCAAGTTCCCTGGGCTGGTCTCAAACCCGTGAACTCAGGCAATCCATTCGCCTGGGCCTCCCAAAGTGCTGGGATTATGGGCTGAGCCACCAAGCCCAGCCTCATTATCATTTTCAGACAGTTCTTCCAGGTCAAAATAAATTTGATCCTTTTGTGTAAATGACTGCTATAAGATATTCTTTTTTTTTTTTTAATTGGAGTCTCACTTCGTCACCCAGACTGGAGTGCAGTGGCCGCTCCTGGCCACCGCAGCCTCGACCTGCTGGGCCCCGGCGATCCTTCTGCCTCAGCCTTCCAAGTAGCCAAAACTACAGGTGCACGCTACCATGCCCAGTTAATTTGTGATTTATTGAAGAGATGAGGTCTCGCCAAGTTCCCTGGGCTGGTCTCAAACCCGTGAACTCAGGCAATCCATTCGCCTGGGCCTCCCAAAGTGCTGGGATTATGGGCTGAGCCACCAAGCCCAGCCTCATTATCATTTTCAGACAGTTCTTCCAGGTCAAAATAAATTTGATCCTTTTGTGTAAATGACTGCTATAAGATATTCTTTTTTTTTTTTTAATTGGAGTCTCACTTCGTCACCCAGACTGGAGTGCAGTGGCCGCTCCTGGCCACCGCAGCCTCGACCTGCTGGGCCCCGGCGATCCTTCTGCCTCAGCCTTCCAAGTAGCCAAAACTACAGGTGCACGCTACCATGCCCAGTTAATTTGTGATTTATTGAAGAGATGAGGTCTCGCCAAGTTCCCTGGGCTGGTCTCAAACCCGTGAACTCAGGCAATCCATTCGCCTGGGCCTCCCAAAGTGCTGGGATTATGGGCTGAGCCACCAAGCCCAGCCTCATTATCATTTTCAGACAGTTCTTCCAGGTCAAAATAAATTTGATCCTTTTGTGTAAATGACTGCTATAAGATATTCTTTTTTTTTTTTTAATTGGAGTCTCACTTCGTCACCCAGACTGGAGTGCAGTGGCCGCTCCTGGCCACCGCAGCCTCGACCTGCTGGGCCCCGGCGATCCTTCTGCCTCAGCCTTCCAAGTAGCTGAAACTACAGGCGCGCGCTACCATGCCCGTCTCATTTTTTGATTTGTTGTAGAGATGAGGTCTCGCCAAGTTGCCCAGGTGGGTTTCGAACCCGTGGT